CCCCAAAACCCCAAAACCCCAAAACCCCAAAACCCCAATTGTTATAAAATTTATTGAAAATTTAGGAAGCTTTTGGGAATGGAAAGAAGTAAATCGACCAAGGAAGGTAGGCTTTGGGTGATTGAAAGGTTTCGTAGAAGGGATTTAGGAGTATTTCGGGCAAATTTGAAGCAAAGAGATGGATTTTTGGTATTTCTGAGGGGCTGATCTTTTAGTCTTTTAATATCTTTAGGCTTGATAGCAATGATCGACTCTAGAACCTGGAAAGAACAGCTTAAGATGGAGCATAAAGTCCTAAATGAGGTATATTACAGATACTTTGGCTTTAAACATAACAAAATAAGGATAATTTGAGCTTTATTTTAGAAGATCAATAAATAAAAAGAAAAACCCATTCTCAAGTTATACAATTAAAGAAGATGAATTGAATACATTTTTAAGAACAAGAGACCACCAGTTGCAGAAGAAGTTGGTCGAAGGTACCCATTTCCTTGTATATCTTAATTTTGTTTTAGGGTATCAAAATGTCATTCCAAATCCGAGGAAGAACATCGAGAGTGTGAAAAGCAGAAAGAGTAGATTTGCATCCAAGTAATTTGTCCTATTACCCCACAGAAAAATTCTTAAGACTAAGTTTAGCAAGATGATTGGGCAGATTAAGTTTGAAAGCGATAGTGATAACCGTCGTGTTGTTTGCATGACTAACAGTATCTCTATTAACATAAAATTTAGGAAAAACTGCGGTTAGCAAATCTCTTCAAAAGTCAACTACCTTTAGCAATAAGGAAGTGATGTTGGCCTTGAAATCAGTATGTTTTGGACTTATCTAGTAGATCGGCAGCTATTTTAACAAGCAAGAATAACAACAAGTTCAGGACGATTAAATGGAAGGGAGATACTTCTGGCAGAAATGGCAAATCACATAACCAGAGCTCTAGAGAGTAAGATTGAAGATAGAATAATATATTTAGCCTTGAAATTTCAAAATCTTTCCGTTACAGTCCAGGTATTGGGACCTCCTTAATTATAATAGCGTATAATTTAAGAGTCTCCGAAAATTATCTACCAGCGAATGTACAATTTCTTTTGATAAAATTATAGACATGACAGAGAAGAAATTCAATGATAGGGCTAGAAAAGTAATAAAAATCTTTATCCACCCCATTCCCTTACCAAAGTGTTCTACTATAATAAATATAGATCAATAAAAAGCTCGATGGATTCAGATAATACCGATGCGAATATTTTTGCACAAATGTAAGTCTCTAAATATCTCCAAAAATGCTCAAATCTCTGCATTAAGTTTCCTATTTGCATCTAAATTCCTTTCAAATCTTGATTTATTATAGGGATCAGGAGAACCAAGAGCTTAGGAAATACATCAGAAGGAAATCTTGTGAATGCCAAGCTTGTGGTGGGAGCAAGCTAAAGACCCTTAGAGGTCATCTCCTGGTACTTGAAGGAGAAGCTTCTGGGGAACTTATTACATATCAAAACAATCAAGGTAACTCTCTACATCTTTAACTTACTTAATTTCAATTTTAGGATTAATAAAGTTAGTCAAACAGTCTGAGTCTTCAAGTTCTTATGCCAGCAACAGTGAGAAAGAAGAACAAGAAGAAGCAAAGCAGCAGTCAGAGGAAGATAAACAAGACGATCAGATACCTGAAAAGGTTCAGATATAGAACCAGATAATTTTAACGTAAGCTTTTTCGGTGAACTTCCTTTTTCTGGATGAAATTGAGCTTCTATTCAGACACCAGAAGCAGGAAAGAAGACAAGCCAGAATGGGATTTTCCTGAAGAGTATACTTCAGAGGTCTACTGCAAAGATGAAAATTATGAGGCTGAAGAGTATCAAGAAGCTAGCTGGAAATGAGAATAGCTTTTACATTTCTAAATTGAAAGACAAGATTAAAGAGGCACAGACGACAAGTCATAAGGTTGATAGACAGGTTTAATAAAGTGACTAAAAACTTGATGTTTGAAGCATTCAAAAAGACTGACTCTCCCATAACACACAAGTATAAGCTTAGCAAAGTTACATCTAACAGTACCAGAAACTCTTTCTCTCCAATGCAAAACTTTCATAAGAAAGAAACTGATTTGGATGATGAGATAGTTAGACAAAGAACAAGTTCCAGAAATGTGCTAGAACTCTTCCCTAGCAGCAAAAAGGCTAAAAGTGGGTTCACACATACTATCAAGATTAAAAGGTCTTCCTCAATGATTCATAACACTGTTGAGTATGGTAAATCCCTACACGAGATATCAAATAATCCAGAGCCCAAACTTGATCAAGAAAAGCTAAATCTGATCAGAGAAGAGACAAAGAAAAATCTTCCATCAAATTCTGTAAATCTAGCATAACTAAAATTTAGCAAAGTAACAGCATCAGCTTTTACTCTGGATCAATTTCAGTGTCTCAATCAGAAGGCACCTCCTACGCCAATGATTTACAAAGTAAAACAGTCTTATAGCTTTAGATTATCAAATAATGATCAGGAAGCCTGATGAGAAGACTCCTGTGAAGGCTTCTGACTCGAAAGTGATAAATCTCCCGGCTAAAAGTCCATTTTCAAAGTTAAAATCTGGTAAAAGAAGGTCAATTAGTGAGAACAAACTTATATCAGGGAAGACTATTCAAGGCTCTTCCTTGCAGAGCCCAATCTTGGACAGACTTAAAGAGACTAGAAGAGATGAGAAAAGAAAACAAAAATTACTCGAACCTATCTCTAGTGGTTTTAAGGCTAACAATATGGGGAATAGAAAGAAGCCCAAGAAGAGTCTCAAGCCAAAGAAGAAGCATGTTGCCCTTCCTAGTATCTATCAGCCTAATAAGTATGATTATATTGCTCTGCTTTTTATGATATATAGAAGTTTGAAAACATTCAGAAATTTTAATCATAAGATGCCTCTAAAAGTTCAGAATACGTTGTATAACTATACTAAACCATCAAGAAATTTTACTAAGTACTTTTAATTATAAATTTTTAGGTTGAATTTGATGACAGAAGCAAGTGCAATGACACAAAGAGTGAATCAGAACCATCTAGCTTTGTACTCCCCAAAACCTAACCTCAGATATCAGAATGGAGCACCTTAGCTACTCAGGGTTGAAGATCAGAAGGTTAGTTAAATTGATTTTCAAAAATTCATAGAACATATTTTCAATATGGGGAATAGAAAAATAACTTTAGATCACTTCTTAATGTAATTAGAACTTTTCGCTGATTCTTTTATCTTTTTGGCTCACTTCATCGTCATCAAGAAGTTTTCCTCTTCTCTTTCTATTTTTAGAGAGCATGTTTTTAGCCATATCAAAATGAGAGCTGTTTGCTGGAGAGTTTTCAATGCTTTCAGAATCTATAAAGATTGCATTATCTGGAAGGAAGAGAAATACGTACTCATGTCAGATCCAGCATTGTGGTCATTCTGATTATTGTCCTCTACACCAAGTATATCTGCTTCATAAGGAAGCAAGAATATGTAGTCCTTTTTGTCTTTGATGAACCTGTACATCAAGTTCCAAAACAACTCCTTTGAATGTTGAAACAGCTGAATCACGTCTAATTGAAGTAACTTGGATCATTGCCTGAAACAACTTATCTCTTTCATCACTCCATTGTATTTAAGAGAATGAGATCCGCTCTTTTTCGGAGAGGATCTGTTCTGTGGGATTTCTTCATTATGAAACTCTCTGAGCTTCCAGAACAAGCTGAAGGAGCCAGAGTATTTTATCTCATCATGGTATTCAAACTTCCTCTTTCTGTTCATAGAGAAGATTTTGCATTTGGAGATAATCAAAGTGACTTTCAGAGTATCTCTCAAGCACTGGGGACATTTGGAGAGAGCTTCCTTCTCTTTGATCACTTTTTCCTGCAAGGGTACTTTGTGGCCATCATTTGGAGTTGCTTTATCAATGACTGTCAAAGGCATGCTCTTCTTGCACTCAATGCATTGAACATTTGGCCGGATTTGGTACTCATATTCAGTATCTGATGGTTCTTTTCTCAAAGTTCTTTTATAAATTTTCCTTGGCTTTTGATGATAATCATCTGTGGTATCTATACTAATTCGAAGAAAAATACCTGAAAAATTTTCATTTATTACTCAGTCATTTAAATTATCGAAGTTGGAAATGGAGGTTTTGGACTTTTGATCTAAAGAGAAGAATGAGAGTGGATATTAGGATAAAAATTTTCATCCTTTTAAATATTTAGCCTACCAAAATTGTAATCTCCTTGGTTTCCTCTTGGTGTTAAGTTCTTTTTACGATGAATCTCTTTCCTCTTGCTCGCTAGTGAATTGGCCTTCTCAATTTTGTTAGCTACGAAATTATTTGAGGAAGATAAAGGAATGCTAATTGATCTAGCCTCTCCTCGGAGACTGAGACCGACAGGCTCAGGCTTCTCCTCTACGTCACCTGATTTCTTGAATGTGTATGGTACCATACTGAAATTAGAACTGATGCTTGACTGTCTTCCGTCAAAAAGGGAGATTCTATTGTTGTGATTTGTAACTTTGAGCTTCTTTCCAAGAGCAAGTTTATAAAATCATAGCATGAGTTGGTTTTGGTGTCTCCAATCAACATTAAACACAGCGTTTGCCATGTCATCTGATCTATTTGAAGTGATCTTTTCTTGAACCGGTCTAAACAAGCAATGGAGAAGATAAGACAAATTCTCTGCAGACACCAGAGGAGTTCCAAACGCCTCAATATTGTCAACTATTTGGGATAAGAGGAGTTCTTTCTGCTTAGAGGAGAAGTTCATTTTGGGTAATTCACTTAACAACTGAATGATATGGATTCTATTTTTCTGGGCTTTCATGATACCAATAAGTGCTGATCCAGGTTGCCAGCCAGATTGCATCATTGATGTTCTCCTTAGTGTAATGTATACTCTTGGGTTTGAAGACATCATGAAGATATCCTCCTGTACTACCAGCAAAGGCTATTGGAGGCCAGTTAATCTCCCTGATCGCCTCAGGAGTGTCTACGAGCTCATTTAGGAGTTTTGGAAAATAGGTATATCGATAGCATGTTCCTGGAGAAGGAGACTTGTCAGAATGCCCCTTCGGCTTCGAATCTTCTTTTGATTTCATATCTGGTCTTGGGCTCTAGATTACAATGGTGGTTATGGTGAGGAATTTGGAATATACCTTCTTGAGACTGGAGTATCGGTGATCACGATTAATCTCAGCCATTGTAATTACACTTATTTTCGAGCTTCTTAAATTCTCTTCATCAATAAATGGAGAAAGATCGGGAGATGCTATGGTTGGTATTAGAAATTTTTTGATGAGCATGGGATGTTGCATATCGGGCTAAGTCTTCTAACAATTTTTTATACAGAAATGTCTTTAAAGGAAATCTTACATTGAATTTGTTCTTTGATCGGGAGCCCACGGTAATCTATAAGAAATATTAATATCTCTAAAGCTTAAAGTTTTCAGGAAGTCTTATTCATAAAACGAAAGTGGAAAAATCTCTTTAGGAAAATGATCACCTACCAGAATAATTAATATACGAGTTATAATACATGCCAGCAAGTTTGTGATAGCTAAGTTTTTTCAGATTTAAATCGGTATTCAACGTCTCTCTCATATCACTATGGTTTTCTTTAGTTTTCGAATCTTTCCTAAAATTCTGAATTAATCTATCCAATTTCTCTGTCTCCGGAGTTGTTCACTTTCTGATCTTCATTTCAAATTTTTGGAACACCTGAGTATTTACAAAAGCGTCGATAAAACTCCTATGCCACTTGGGTAGTCTCTTCCTGACCTCTGGGTGCTGGTATCCTTCCTTCTGACTGTAGTCACATTTCGTGATCTGTAGTATGTCGTCCATGAAGTAGTTGAAGAAGAAATTTCTGATTCTGGTAGCGTAGGTTACTGTATCTTTGTAGTCTCTGGTCTTCTTCTTGGTGATAGATTTTAGGATGGATTCAAGCTCTTTTAGTTTTCCTGTGTAGGAGTCGTAAGGCAGGGTTAGCCTGGAGGATTCTTTTGAGTCTTGTCTTTGGGTTATGATGAAGGCTTCGGTGGCTTGCATGAATTCGTCCCTGTTTTGGAGCAGTTTTTGAGAGTCGATATCGAAGCAGGTTACTTTGGAGGGGAGGTACGCTTTGACGTATTTGTATGATTCAGGTGTCAGCCCGAGCATGTATTTACAGTTTGAGTCTGAGGATAAGAACATTAGGATTAAGTCTGGCCTACACATGTAGGGGATTATTAAGCCAGAGAATTTGAATGGGAAGATAATGTTATTTTAAGATCTCACTCCATGAGATTAAGGAATCTATTGATTTGGAAACAAGGATTACTGGATCTTCAAACAGAACTCTTTCCATTACATCCCAGATTACAAGTGAGTTTTCGTAGAATGGAGAGAGTTCTAAGAAATGTTTCGGCTCACAGTAAGGAAGGGAATCTACTGTTTCGTATTTAAATTTGTAGCATTCTTTAGTGCCCCAGTATTTACTCTTGATGATATACTTGAATCCTGGGTGGGGGAACTCATATATTAGATTAGTAATCATCCTTTCAATAGGGATACTGGTATTATCCATACAGTGGTTTATAATTTTGGTCAGAAATTGCTCTAAGTCCTTATAAATAGGATATTTCGATATTAGCACTAGAATCTTTGGAAGTTTTATCTTATTCTTAGGAATAGGGCTTTTACCGATGATTTCAGACTTTTTGATGTGGCTATTCAGAATATCCAGCTCGTTTGGATTTTCCAAACAATTTAGGGTATTTTGAGGATTCAAAGTAGAGTGTCTGACAATGCCTTTGAAAGGACTTGAATCAGAATCATTTGAAAGGGAGTCTTCAACATGGTCTAACTTATCTTCCTCTTGGATTTTATTTAGGAGTGATGCTTGATTCTGGTTTAGAATTAAAGGTATTGCCTCTACTAGAAACTCCATGTTCTTCTTCTGATACTTCACTAAGAGTTTGCTATAGATAGGTTAAAGATTTCTCAGTCTTGACAGGCGGCCTGCCAGCGTTTACCTTTTCTAGTACCCTAAAATGTTAGAGGTGGACGAGATAGATACTTACAGTTTATTTCTTACAATCCAATCGCTCTGTATCTTTGGTTGACTCAGTTCCAACCCTTTGCTTCTCTTTATCATTAACTTTATCAACTTCCTTATCCTTCTCCATCTTATGATACTCCATATCTCCTTTAGCTTGATGAATCAGTGCGAGGTCTTCGTACACGAGTGCACCAGTAATATAGGCGTACTGGGCGCACGAGTTTAGGTAAACGGCAGTAGAGGCCGACATTTGAACCCTATTATTTGCCCTCTTTTCCTTGTGCCCTCTGGATGCCTAGGTCTTCAGGCTTGAACAGCAGGCGAGGGATTGTTTGGATGAGGTTTGTTATAGGGAAATTTGGCCTGTCTATTTGGGGCACTCGGTCGGTTAGTTCCATTTTGAGGTCAGTGTGTGGCTGGGGTGAGGCTTTTGGGGTACGGGATGTGGAGGGAGGTGAGGAGGGAGCCAAACAGTCGAGCTATATACATTCTGGTGTTATAATTTCCTAAAACTATTCTCCAAAGTAAGCAAAAGATCAGTTTAAAGCAATCAATCCTATCAGAGCGGGAACTCTTGACTAAACAGTCTCAAAGCCTAATTCCGAACGGGGTAATCTTTCATGTAAAGAGACTTACAATATGAGTGGGATCTTCTATTCACTGTTGCATGAACCCTTCGAAATTTTCGATTTGGTACGACAAGAAGTACTGGACATGACTATCATAAGTCTTCAACTTCTTGTACAACAAATCATGGGCAGTTGGCATCCCCAAGGGTGAGTGAGGGCTATCAGCAGGAGGTGTCTCCTCAGCCGCATCAGACCCTTCACCTTCGGAATTGGCCACTTCTTCCTTGGTCTCTTCTTCGTAAAGTTCTTTGCTGTCTGAAGGGCTGTTTGGAGGGTTATTTTGGGATTAGAGGTAAGGGGTAGGGATTGGAGAGGAGGCTAACTGGGTTGGAGAGGAATAAGGGAAGTGGAGTGAAGTAGAAAGATTATTTGGGTGATAGAGAGGGGAATGGATGAGAAAACTTGTTTGGACATATTTTTTGGGAATTTAGTTATTACTTTTGGTTTAAGGTGCGAGTATGGGGTTGAGGGTCTCCTGGAAAGCTTTGGGTTTTTCAGGTTTTCTTCGCGAATGCTTTTCTTTTGTCTTTTGCTTTAGGTTTGAAATCTAATTTGGAATCCATTCTTTGTGTTATGAGAAAATTATATAAGTCAATTATGTTGTTATTTAAAGGGGTTTTGGGGTTTTGGGGTTTTGGGGTTTTGGGG